TGGTGCGTTCCAAGGGGGGAGAGATGAGGCGTGGAAAGACGTGGGAGGGCGATGATGAGAGTGCTGGTGGCAATGCTGCCCGTGCGCGCAAAGTCCGGCTCCGCCAGCTCGTTGAATCGCCTGGCGTGTTTCAGAGGGGTGGAGATGAAGGGATGAAAGGGAGGCAGGGCGGGAGGGATGGGAGGAGATGGAGAGTGCTGGTGGCGATGCTGTGCTGCCCGTGCGCGCAAAGTCCGGCTCTGCCAGCTCGTTGAACCGCCTGGTGCGTTCCAAGGGGGGAGAGATGAGGCGTGGAAAGACGTGGGAGGGCGATGATGAGAGTGCTGGTGGCAATGCTGCCCGTGCGCGCAAAGTCCGGCTCCGCCAGCTCGTTGAATCGCCTGGCGTGTTTCAGAGGGGTGGAGATGAAGGGATGAAAGGGAGGCAGGGCGGGAGGGATGGGAGGAGATGGAGAGTGCTGGTGGCGATGCTGTGCTGCCCGTGCGCGCAAAGTCCGGCTCTGCCAGCTCGTTGAACCGCCTGGTGCGTTCCAAGGGGGGAGAGATGAGGCGTGGAAAGAAGTGGGAGGGCGATGATGAGAGTGCTGGTGGCGATGCTGCCCGTGCGCGCAAAATCTGGTTCCGCTAGCTCGTTGAACCGCCTGGCATTGGCAACCCAGTAGAGGGATGATAAAAAGAGAGGAGGGGGCGATGGTAAGAGTGCTGGTGGCAATGCTGCCCGTGCGCGCAAAGTCCGGCTCTGCCAGCTCGTTGAATCGCCTGGCGTCAAGAACGCAGCAGGTGATGTGAAAGAGAGAGAGAGGGGGGCGATGATGAGAGTGCTGGTGGCGATGCTGTGCTGCCCGTGCGCGCCAAGTCCGGGCTCTGCCTGCCAGCTCGTTGAACCGCCTGGCATTCCGCATGGCGGCGGTGGTGAAGGGTGGAGAGAGGTGGGAGGGCGGTGATGAGAGGTGGAGAGGGAGGGATGAATGAGCATGTGTAGCAAGAGCTCAGAAACAGTGCCACAAACAACCCTTCCTTCCTCCTCTTCCTCCATCACCCCCTCACTAGCTTACAGCCCCCTCTCCCTCCCACCCACTTCTTCAGGCGCCTCACTTCCCCCCACCCACGCCTACACCCTTTTTTTCCCCTTCCCCCTCCCCCTCTTCCCCCCCCAACGCACTTCTCCACCACCTGCACATTGGGCAGCGATGTGAATTGCGGCCCTCGGTGACCTTCACTCTCTCCCTTTCCCCCCTCTCGTATCCCCTTTCCTTTCCCTGCATCCCTCCCCCTCTTCCCCCCCCAACGCACTTCTCCACTCCCTGCTGCTCCTTGGGCAGCGATGTGAAGAGCAACCTTCAGATACCCTCACCCGATCCCAACTCCTCATCCCCCCTACTCTAACCCCCTTCCCCCCCACTCCCTCCCCATTCCCCCTTCCCCTCCCCTCTTCCCCCCCCAACGCACTGACCTGCTCCTTGGGCAGCGATGTGACGAGCAGCCCTCGGTGGCCCTCACCCTATCCCCACTCCTCTTCCCCGCTTCCCTTCCCCCTTCCCTTCCCCCTTCCCTTCCCCGCTTCCCTTCCCCCTTCCCTTCCCCCTTCCCTTCCCGCTTCCCTTCCCCCTTCCCTTCCCCCTTCCCTTCCCCCTTCCCTTCCCCCTTCCCTTCCCCCTTCCCTTTCCCCTTCCCTTTCCCCTTCCCTTCCCCCTTCCCTCCCCCCTCCCCTCTCCCCGGCCTCCCACCCCCAACGCACTTCTCCACCTTCTCCTTGGGCAGCAACGTGAAGAGCAGCCCTCGAATACCCTCACCCGATCCCAACTCCTCATCCCCCCTACTCTAACCCCCTTCCCTCCCCATTCCCCCTTCCCTTCCCCCCCACTCCCTCCCCATTCCCCCTTCCCCTCCCCCCCCCAACCCCCAACGCACTTCTCCACCTGCTCCTTGGGCAGCGATGTGAAGAGTAGGCCTCGGTGGCCCTCTATCAGCTGTCGTGGCGCGCATAAAAAGATAAAGAGACAGAAATAAAAGGAGAGAAAGACGGAATGAGAGAGAGAAGGGGCGTTACGAGACAGTGGGATGAGGGATGGAGGGTGACGGAGAAAAGGAACGGAAAAGTGGGTGTAGAAACAGTTGGGAGAAGAGGAGATACGGCAGATGTAGACACTTGGCATGAACGGGGCTGATTAAAGGGGATATACTGCAAGTTGTCCACACTTGTACACACATTCTTAACCTTCGATCCATCTCCACCGCACTGCATCTATTCACGAGTTTCCCTCACTCTCCACACTTCACCGGTGGAGGGCCCCATCCTCTGCTCCGCCACCCCTTATCGTCACTCCTCAAAATCGCACAGCACCATCTTCACCCCTCCCTCCCTCCCCCCTCACCTCGCTGCACGAGCGCAACCCCTCTCTCTGCTCCGTCACACTCCATCCGCACTTTCCTCCAACCCACCTCTCGGTTCCACTCCCCGTCACCGCACAGCACCCCTCACCACTCCCTTCTCACCTCACTGCACCGGTGCAGCCCCTCCCTCTGCTCCGTGGCCTTGTCCCTCCCCAGCGCCACCTGCAGCACCTTGTTCGCCCCCAGGAAGAACCTGCGGGGGAAGGCGGGAAGGGGGAGAGCGGGGTGAGGGGATGAGCACGAGGGGGGGGGGAAGGGGGCGAAAGGGGAGGGACGACCGGGAATGAGCAAAGTGGCCCCACCTGCCGCACCGTGTTGACGCCCAAGGAAGAACCTGAAGAGGGAGGCGGAGGGGAATGGGGAAAGAACGGGGGGCCGAGCCGAGAGGAGCTGGGGGAGGGGGAAAGGAAAAAATGGGGCGAGAGGGGAGGGAGGAGCGGGGATGAGCGAAGTGGCCCCACCTGCAGCACCTTGCTGACGCCCAGGCAGAACCTGGGGGAGGCGGATTGGCAGGGACAAGGAGAGGGGGTCAGAGGGGGGAGGGGGTGGATAGTGGGATGGGGGAAACAGTGCCACCTGCAGCACCTTGCTGACGCCCAAGGAGAACCTGGGCACAAGAGAGGTGGACGATGGAGTGGAGGAGAAGGAGAAGGAGAAGAAGCAGGCGGACGAGAAGAAATGGGCACCGTGAGGCTGGCCTCTGAGCCTTTGACCCTCCTTGCGTCAAGCTCCTTGCGCTTGGTGTTGCGCATGCATGCTGCCATCCTTAAAACACATACAATGCTGCTGAGCCCGAACACGCCTCCACTGCTGCTCATCCATTGCCAGCTCAGGGTTTAACGATTCAGGGTTTAAGAATCTGGGGTTGAAGACTCCGGGGTTTGGCGCTGAAGGCTTACCTACAGACGCCCTTGAGCTCGTTCCTGAGCTCCTTGAGCTTCGTGTTGCGCATGTTGTCGAGCTCGAACACGTACACGTCCGAATGACCCTCCACCGCTGCTCATCCACTGCCCTCTCAAGATTTAACGATCAAGGGTTTAAGAAGTCCAGGGTTTAAGGTGATCATGACTTACCGGCAGACTCCTTTCAGCTCATCCCTGAGCTCCTTGAGCTTGGTGTTGCGCATGTTATCGAGCTCAAAGACATACACGTCCGAATACTCCTCTCCGCTACCGCCTACCCATTGCCCGCTCGGGGTTTATCAATCCGGGGTTTAGGGCGCTCGTGCCTTACCTACAGACTCCTTTCAATTCGTCTCGCAGCTCCTTGAGCTTGGTGTTGCGCATGTTATCGAACTCGAACACATACACGTCCGAATACTCCTCCACCGCCGCTCGCACCGCCTCCACTAGCGACTCCTTCTGCTCGCGCCCCTTCTTTGTCACACGCGATAGAGTCACTGAGGGGGACGGTAAGTGGGGGGAGGGGGGTTGGAAAATGAGATTTAGCCGTCTCGCCTTAGTCACCACCGCCTCCACTAGCGACTCCTTCTGCTCGCGCCCCTTCTTAGTCACGCGCGATAGAGTCACTGCGTGCGGGAGAGGGGGACGGGAGGGGGGACGGGGTGAGGGAGGGGCGATAGAGTCAATGTAACGCGCGGAAGGGGAGATGATTTTCGCCCTGGAGGAGGAAAGAGGGGGTTGGACTTAAGCGCAGATGGGGCTATAGAAAAACTAGAAAACGTCAAATTGTATCGAAAGGTTGTAAGACGAGGACGCGCACGCCGAATGCCACGATGGCCTGGCCCATGACGACGCATTGCCAGGGGTAAGAAGAGAAGTTTTGAGACGTCTCAAAACTACTCTTTTTACACATGCCACGATGAGACGTCTCAAAACTACTCTTTTTACACATGCCACGATGAGACGTCTCAAAACTACTCTTTTTACACATGCCACGATGGCCTACCCCATAACCGACGCATTGCCAGGGCGAGGGTGCACACAAACCGGTAGCGACACAATTTGGAGAAAATGCGGCGACCTATCTTGCGTACCCAACCGATTGCGCTTCGATTTCGGCATGCTGGCTCGACTTGCTCTGCTCTCCCCTGTGCTTCACTGCCCACTCTTGCGCCTTCTCTCCCCCGCGCGTATCTCCTCCCCTTTGGATAGCGTTCGTGCTCGCTCAAGCCCGCCTGCTGCGCTGCTCGCTCAATCTACCAGCTACTACCCAGAGACCTAGCACCGCCTGTAAACCACGTGCTTTTTGGTTGACAGGATCCGTTGGCCCGATGGTTGGGAGCAGCAACCCTAGATGTAACGGGGATCGGTACAACCGATAAGGCGTTCGAGTATCGAGGAACCAGCGGGAGCGACGGGCACGGATGGACTGTCATGGAGGGGCGTGGAGCGAAGTGTGAAGTTTGGATGGAAGGGAAAGGGAAGAGTGGGGGGTGGGGTTGAGGGGTTTGCGAGAACCAGCGAAGTCGGAAAACCAGCTCCAACACCTAGCAGCATGTTACGCATCTATACTTTTCATTACATGTTTTTTTTACCAACAACAAAAAAAGAACCAGTCAAGAAACTGCTTTTAATAAGTACAAGGTGATTCAATGCAAACCAAGACACACGCCTCAATTTAAGACCATAAAATCCTACGAATAAATTAGCCGTATTCAGAAATGAGCACGAGGCTGTCTTCTGGGCCGAACTCGAGCGGAACGTCCTTGGGGCACGGGTTGATGATTGTGGTGTCGCCGCACCGGTACCCGATGGCCACCTCTCCCCGCTGCACTGCCCTCTCTGCCAGCTCGTTGAACGTTGGGGTCTCCCCAGGACTCACATACAGGGACGCGTCCTGGTGGGTGGGGTTGGGGTTGGGGTGGGTGAATGCATGGTTAATTTTTCTCAGTAGAGAGGTGTAGACCAAGCAACCCATCCATAAATGACAGGTTGATGACCGTGGTGTCGCCACGCCGATATCCGATCGCCACCTCCCCGCGCTGCACTGCCCTCTCTGCCAGCTCGTTGAAGGTTGGGGTCTCCCCTGGACTCACATACAGGGACGCGTCCTGGTGGAGGGGGATTGGATTGTGGATGGGGGGTCGGGTTAAATGCGTGGTTTTATTTACTCAATAGAGAGGTGTTCACCAAGCGACACGTCCTTGGGGCACGGGTTGATGACTGTGGTGTCGACACGCCGATACCCGATGGCCACCTCCCTGAGCTGCACCGCTCTCTCCGCCAGCTCGTTGAAGGTTGGGGTCTCCCCTGGACTGACATACAGGGACGCGTCCTGGTGGAGGGGACGAGGGGGGGGTGGGAGGGGGGGGTTTGGGTTGAGGGTGGGCACATATAGTTTGGTCCCAAGGTCGTCCCAGCTCATGGAACGTGGAGCTCTCCCCTAGACCCACATACATGGACGCATCCTGGTGGGTGGGGGTGAGTACATATGAAGGTATTTAAATATAGTGAATAACGAGGGGTACTTAGTCGGTCATGGATGCCCGGAATGGCCAGCGCGTGAGAGCCGGTGTTCCATGCCCTAATAACCCCAGGTCCTGCTTGCGGGATGTTTCACACACAGTCAAGTCAAGAACGTTTCAGCCCCCACACACCTTGCCATGTGTACACATTCGTTTCGTTGCTCACCCATCTTGTCAGACTTTTTGCTCCCCACCCACCTTGACATAGATTTCATCTCCCCATGAGTTGAGCAGCTCCGTCCAGATGGCGTTCAGCTCCGCATGCTCCGTAACTGCAGGGAGGTGTGGGGTGTGGGAATGGGGGGTGGAGAGTGGGAAAGACGGGATGAGCACATCACACCTTGACATAGGTCTCTGTCTCCCCATGAGTTGAGCAGCTCTGTCCAGATAGCGTTCAGCTCTGCATGCTCCGTCACTGTGGGGGAGGGGGAGGTGAGGTGGGTGTATTGATGGGGGGAGAGAGCGAGAGATGAGTTTGGAAGAGAGCAGAAGAGGAAGGGAGAGAGGTGCAGGGTGAGGGGATGGTAGGGAAGGCAGGATTCGGGGAGCATGTGATATGGTACACTAGTGCATGCATCAGCGGAGCATCATATGCGAATCACATGGGCATTATCCACTCACAGCTGAAATTCATTGCATTAGGAACAAGGACGTGCATGCAATGAGTGACATGACCAGCCCACATGCCGTGAGTGGAGTGGCATCACATGCACACATTATGGGGTAATAGCCCTGTAAACCCATACCTTGTGAGGTAACTAGCCCCATGAGGTCAGACGTGCCGATGTAGGTGAGCGATGGATGGCTGCCCACCACCTGGGGAGAGCGAAGGGAGAAGAGGCAAGATGTAATGATGATTAATGGCACGATGATGGCATGATAGAGTGAGGGCATGGTGACATGGTGGCGTGATGGCATGCCAGGGATGACTTATCGTGGGTCAGGATGGAACCATGGCGTGCTGGCATGATGGCAACATGGGGCTTATACTGAGTTGACTTTTGAGTTGACTCAAAAGTCAACAGGATGGCACCATGGCGTGCTGGCATGATGGCAGCATGCGTACTGGAAAGGAGGTCTGCCATGCTCGTTTCCCTCTTCGCCACATCCCCCTCCCCTGCACCACCCTCATACCAAGCTGGCACTGGCGTAATCATCCCTAAACCCCCTCTGCTGCACCCCCCACCACCCACCTCGCGCCCCAGGCGGTTGTCCTGCATCATGCGTGATGGTCCTCATAACCCCCCTATACCGCACCCCACCGCACACCACCCACCTCCCGTCCAAGCCGGTTGTCCTCCAGCTCCGCGTTCAAAGACTGCACCTGCATGGATGGGGCAGGGGGTGTGTTTGGGATGCAAAGGGGGTGACGGGGGCACCGGGTGAGTGCAAGAGTGGACTTTCCAGTTGACTCGAGAGACAGTGGGCGAGTGTGAGAGTGCACAGCAGCAGTGCGTTGAGTGTGACAAGGGTGTGATGAGTGCCGTTTCGGATGTGATGCAGTAAGCCCTTTCTTGCACGCAGCCAGGTCCCCCTCGGAAACCACTAGGCCCCCTTTGCAGCCACCAAACCCCCCTAGCAAACCGCCAGGAGCCCCCTTTACAACCACCAGCCCCCCTTTGCATGCAATAGTTTTCCCCACTTCGCATGCAATGATTTCCCCCCCTGAGCACACAGCAACCCCCACTCGGAAGAAGCACCTTGTTGACTCTGCCAGCAGCAGTGAGTACAGCGACTGCTTGACTTGCCTATGGAAGAGAGTGCGCACCTTGATCTTGTTGGCACGGCACACCGACTCTGCTAGTAGCAGCGAGTACAGCGACTGCTTGTCTGGCTTGGTGCGCTCTGTTTGTGCATGGGAGAGGGGCGGAGGGCAGGGGAGAGGGGATGGTGCATGTGGTTGTTGAAGGGAAGATGTTGAACACGCTACCCCCCATCCATGCATGGTGCCTGGATTTCAAGCTCATGAGGCCCAATAGACCATCACGAACACACACTCCCACACACACACATGCACTTCCGTGGTGCCAGGAGCGGTCGGAGACGACAATAATGGAGAAGGGCACGTTGTCAAAGAACATGTCTCCCCCGGCGGACACAAAGGGGTGGAACACACTGCCCACACAAAGCCTAACAGCCACATCACACACAGACGGGCACACCCACGCACGCACCTCCGTGGTGCCAGGAGCGGTCGGAGACGACAATAATGGAGAAGGGCACGTTGTCAAAGAACATGTCTCCCCCGGCGGACACAAAGGGGTGGAACACACTGCCGGGGTCCAGAATGGCATCTGTCAGATCTGTGCGACTCATGGGATTGCCCACCTGAGAAAGGGAGGAGAGAGGGAGAGGGAGGAGGAAAGATGAGCAAGGCGCCTGCCAAAGGTGTGCCTCATAGGATGGGGGTTAGGTTAGGGGAAGAGGGTTCACAAGGCGCCTGGATACTGCTCTTTTTCGCTCCTCTAAGCTCTGCAGACCACATGCCACATGCCATGCACCATGCGCCATGCACCATAGACCATGCACCATGCACCATCGACCATGCACCATGCACCATGCACCATAGACCATGCACCATGCACCATGCACCATAGACCATGCACCATGCACCATGCACCATAGACCATGCACCATGCACCATAGACCATGCACCATGCATTACATCGTGCACCAATTGATCCTGCCATCTGCCCGCACCTTGTGCACCATTGTAAGATTCCTGAGGGGTGTCCTGAGCATGCGGGCGAGCTGCCTCTCCCTCTCCTCCAGGCTCTCCTCGGCAGAATGACCAACTCGCTGCCCGCTGCTCACACATGCTCACCATTGTGCTCACGCAGGTGCGTGGTACGCACCTTGTGCACCACCGTGAGGTTCCTGAGGGGTGTGCGCAGCATCCTGGCGAGCTGCCTCTCGCGCTCCTCCAGGCTCTCCTCCGCCAGAATGACCAACTCGCTGCCCGGCCCCACATAGTCGTCAAACTCGCGGATCATGTCCGGGACACCCGTCCTCCATCCAAGCATCACCATGCGCTCCGCTCGTGCAGCCGGCTCGTTGGGCTGTGGGAGGCGAGAGGGGTATTGGCGCGGTTGGATGGTTGGGGACACAGGAGTGCAAGGGATGGGAGAGCACACGAATCAACACACTCTGCCCGGCCCCACTTAGTCGTCAAACTCTCGGATCATGTCCGGCACGCCTGTCCTCCATCCAAGCATCACCATCCTCTCCGCCCTCGCTGCCGGCTCGTTGGGCTGGGGAAGGGTAAGAAGGGTGCGTGGAGTTGGGGTCACACATGAGCTCGTGCGTTGCAGGTCACATGCAGGCCGGTTACATGTGAGTTACAGGTGGGCTACATGTGGGTTACAGGTGGGCTACAGGTGGGTTACAGGTGGGTTACAGGTGGGTTACAGGTGAGTTACAGGTGGGTTACAGGTGGGTTACAGGTGGGCTACAGGTGGGCTACAGGTGGGCTACAGGTGGGTTACAGGTGGGTTACTGGTGGGTTACAGGTGGGTTACTGGTGAGACGGCAGCATACAGAAGCAGTAGCAGCAGGCTGAAAGCTGACACCATCACTGCACAGCCTCACCTCGTCAGATCACCACCACACCCTCCTCTCCTCACCTTGAACTGGCCGGCATCTCTTGTCTTTAGCGCCGAGTCCCTGTGCACCCGCACCATCCCCTCACTCGAACCACCCCCGCGCCCCTCCCGCCCCCCTCGGCTGCTCTCTTGCTTCTGCCTGATCTGCGCTGCTTGCATCATGAGTGCTGGTGGGGGGTGGCGGTGCGTGTGCTTCAGAGCTATCAGCATCAACTGGTGGTGGGATGTGGAGGGGAAGGGAGGCGGAGACCAGAGAAGGAGGAGCAAGAATGAGAATTCGCTAGAGAGGGACGGAGGAAATCTACTCCCACCCAGTTGCTCTCCTGCTTCTGCCCGATCTGTGATGTCCTGCCTGCAGCATGAGTGCTGGAGGGGAGTGGCGGTGCGTGCGTGTGCTTCAGCGCTATCAGCATCACCTGGTGGGATGTGGAGGGGAAGGGCGGAGGCAGAGGGAGAGTGAGAACGGTGCCCCCCTCCCCTCAGCTGCTCTCCTACGCCTGCCTGACCTGTCCTGCAGCATTAGCACTGGAGGGAGGGTGGCGGTGTGTGTGCTTGAGAGCTACCAGCATCATCAAGTGGGATACTACATTAAGGGGGAAGGAACGCACTAAGCCCATTATTGAACTACTTCACACCCTATAACTCGGTTACCTAGTCAATATTTTCAGCTCAGGTTCGGATAGCCCACTAACCGCCTCCCACCGCTCTTCACACCTTATCGGTGCGCTGCATGGGGTCGGATTCTTTGGGGTGGAACTGCACCTTGCCGTCCCTAAATATGGCGCAGCACACTGCCTCAAGTTCTAATATCCCTCTCAACGCATCCCACCGCACATCACACCTTATCGGTGCGCTGCACCGGCTCAGAGTCCTTGGGGTGGAACTGCACCTTGCCGTCCCTCACTATGCCACAGCACACTGCCTGTGCGTGCACGGATGGGGATGGAGGTGGGAGGAAGAGAGGGAGGAGAGTGTTTCTAGGGTAGGTCAATACAGTCGACATACAGCGCTGCACCTTGCCGTCTCTCATTATGCCACAACACATGGCCTGCTCGAGCACGGATGGATTGGGGAATGAGGGTGGAGGTGGGAGGAAGAGAGGGAAGAAACTGTTTCTAGGGTAGGTCTATCCCACAGGCACTTTGCCGTCCCTCACTATGCCACAGCACACCGCCTGCTCAGGTGAAGGTTCGGTAGGTGGGAGGCAGAGGGACGGGGATGGTGGTATGGCAGGTCAATACAGGTGACGGCGCTGCACCTTGCTGCCTGCACAATTGACTTTTGAGTCGACTCAAAAGTCAGTAGGTTAGGTAGGTGGGAGGCAGAGGGACGGGGATGGTGGTATGGCAGGTCAATACAGGTGACGGCGCTGCACCTTGCTGCCTGCACAATTGACTTTTGAGTCGACTCAAAAGTCAGTAGGTTAGGTAGGTGGGAGGCAGAGGGACGGGGATGGTGGTATGGCAGGTCAATACAGGTGACGGCGCTGCACCTTGCTGCCTGCACAATGTGACACATACGCACCAGCATGAAGAGGAGCATACATTGTCCCCCGTTTAATACCATCATGAATCAGACCATGCAACATGACTCACCTCCGGGAAGCCCCTTCGCACAAGGCCATAGGGCAGGCCGGCAAGTGAGGGGAAGCTCCTCACGTTGATCACCTCGTCTGTGGGGGCAGAGGGGAGGCGAGGGGAAGAGAGGAGAACGGGGGAGGGTGAGCGAGGAGGTGATGTGGACCGTGGAGGCAGGGGGGAACGGAAAGGAGAGTGGGAAAGGTGAAATACACGGGTATGAGAGGGGAGGTGGCAGGGAGGAGGGAAGGGTGCACCCTGTCATCTACCCTCTCCACCCACACCCACCAGTTTGGTTTCTGAATGCCCCCACCCACCGGTGTGGTCCAGCAGCTTGCAGTACACGCCCACGAGCCCCGGCTGCCGGGAGCACTGCACCAAGAGCAGAGCTTGGCGGAGAGATTCTCCACGGCGCTCACGCGCACCTCTCTACATGTGCCCTGTACAATGCCTGTATATCCTCACCGGTGTGGTCAAGCAGCTTGCAGTACACATCCACGAGCCCCGGCTGCCTTGAGCACTGCACGAAGAGCTTGGCAGAGAGATTCTCCACGGCGCTCCCCTTCACCCCTCTACCCCACTCCCTGCTTATCTGATCCCCCTCTATCCGTGTGGCCCCTGTATCTCCTCACCCGTGTGGTCCAGCAGCTTGCAGTACACGTCCACGAGCCCCGGTTGCCTAGAGCACTGCACGAAGAGCTTGGCAGAGAGATTCTCCACGGCGCTCACGCGCACCTCCGCCATGCCCCGCAGCAGCAACCCCGTGCTGCCCTTTGACACCTCCGTCACCACTCCTGTGTTTGAGCCTCTTAGGAGGGGCTTGAGGGCGATGACTGACATCACCACGTCTGCATCGGCTTCGTAGCTGGTGGTAAGGGGGGAAGGAGAGGGGGGAGAGGTGGATATAAGGCGTTGAGAAGTGCTGCCCATTCCCCTGCGCCACCTTTGGAGGAGAGATTCTCCACGGCGCTCACGCGCACCTCCGCCATGCCCCTCAGGAGAGAGCCCGTGCTGCCCTTTGACACCTCCGCCACCACCCCCGTGTTGGAGCCCCTTAGGAGGGGCTTGAGAGCTATGACTGACATCACCACGTCTGCATCTGCCTCGTAGCTGGTGGTGGGAGAGGGAGTCAGGAGAGGAGAGGGAGGGATGGGAGCAACGAGAGGCGTATGTGTGATAGTGCTAGAAGGAGATTTGGCAGAAACGAGGGTTGGTGCTTACTAGTCGTCCTTGGGGGCCACGAGAATGACTGAGCGCGCCCTGTCTACCGCCACCTTGTAGAGCTTTGAGGCGATGCTGGGACATGCATGTATGCTGCTGGGACATGCACGCATGCTGCTGGGACATGCACGCATGCTGCTGGGACATGCACGCATGCTGCTGGGACATGCACGCATGCTGCTGGGACATGCACGCATGCTGCTGGGACATGCACGCATGCTGCTGCAGCTCCAGCAGGGGGGCTTTTGAGGCGCCTCAGAAGCCATGCTGCTGCAATGCTAGCAGGGGGTGTGCGCGCAGCAGGAAGCAGGGCACTCACTAGTCGTCCTTGGGCGCCAGGAGAATGACTGAGCGCGCCCTGTCTGCCGCCACCTTTTTGAACGATGCAGTGCTGCTGAGCGGGCCGCTGCAGTGATGCGGAGCAGAGGGACGATGGAGGGAGAAGTGGGAATAGGGGAGAGGGGGAAAGAGAAAGGGGAGAGGAGATGGCAGAAAATGAGGGGGCCAGTATGAGGATGATCATCAGATATGATGTGTCGATTAGAGGGTCATCTCGAGCATGCAAAGATGAAGGAGGGGTGGCAAGCGGTGGAGAGAGATAAGAGGCGAGTGGCAGAGGTAATGAAGTGTGGGCTTGGCCTGGAATTGGCATGGCAAAAGGGTAGTGTGTGGCAAAAGGGTAGTGTGTGGCAAAAGCCATGTGGAGGCACCTGCGGATGAAGAGGTTGATGTGCTGGCAGTCCTTGAGGTAAGGCGACACTATCTTCTCCGTCTCCTTGCGCGGTAACTCTGTCAGCAGCAGCACCGTGCGCTTCCTAGGGAAGGGTGGGGGGAGGGGAGAAAGGCCGTGTGGGGGCATGTGCGGATGAAAAGGTTGATGCGGGGGGCAGTCCTTAGTCCTTGAGGTAAGGCGACACTATCTTCTCCGTCTCCTTGCGCGGTAACTCTGTGAGCAGCAGCACCGTGCGCTTCCTGGGGAAGGGTGGATGGGGGGGAAGGAAGGGAGCAGAAGGGCGGTGGTGCGTTGAAAGAGAGGCAGATTTTAGAGGTGGTGGGGCGAAGAGGAGCAGCAAGAAGTGCACATGGGCGAGGGAGCAGGCAGCGGCAGTGCTTTGGCATGACAACAGCCACCATCGTCTATGGGAGAGGAGGGGCCGTACTGCACTGTGGGGCGGGCGGGTGGTCCATTGTGGGGCGGGTGGTGCACTGTGAGGCGAGGATGCATGGTAATGGTAGTGATAATGATAATGGTAATGATAATTGTAATGGTAATGGTAGTCGTATCGTAACAGTAATGGTAATGGTAGTGGTAGTGGTAATGGTAATCATAATGATAATGGTAATGGTAGTGGTTGTGATAATGGTAATGGTAATGGTAATGGTAATTGTAATGGTAATGGTAATGGTAATCATAATGGTAATGGTAATGGTAATGGTAGTCGTAATGGTAATGGTAATGGTAGTGGTAATGGTAGTCGTAATGGTAATGGTAATGGTAGTGGTAATGATAGTGGTAATGGTAATCATAATGGTAATGGTAATCATAATGGTAATGGTAATGGTAGTGATAATGGTAATGGTAATGGTACTTGTAATGATAATGGTAGTTGTAATAGTAATGGTCATGGTAATGGTACTTGTAATGATAATGGTAATGGTAACGGTAACGGTAATGGTAATGATAATAGTAATGGTAGTGGTAATGGTAGTGGTAATGATAATGGTAATGGTAATAATAGTGGTAATGGTAATGATAATGGTAGTGATAGTAGTAATGGTAGTGGTGATGGTAATGGTAGTGGTAATGGTAATGGTAGTGGTATTGGTAGTGGTAGTGGTAATGGTAGTGGTAATGGTAATGGTGATGGTAATAGTAGTGGTAATGGTAATGGTAATGGTAGTGGTAATGGTAATGGCATGGCATGCGGCGCAACCATGGCAAGCGGCACAACCATGGCAAGCGGCACAACCATGGCATGCGGCACAACCATGGCATGCGGCACAACCATGGCATGCGGCACAACCATGGCATGCGGCACAACCATGGCATGCTGCACAACCATGGCATGCGGCACAACCATGGCATGCGGCACAACCATGGCATGCGGCACAACCATGGCATGCGGCACAACCATGGCATGCGGCACAACCATGGCATGCGGCACAACCATGGCATGCGGCGCAACCATGGCATGCGGCACAACCATGGCTTGCGGCGCAACCATGGCATGCGGCACAACCATGGCATGCGGCACAACCATGGCATGCGGCACAACCATGGCATGCGGCACAACCATGGCATGCAGCACAACCATGGCATGCGGCACAACCATGGCATGCGACACAACCATGGCATGCGGCACAACCATGGCATGCGGCACAACCATGGCATGCGGCACAACCATGGCATGGCAACCCTGCTGCTCGCGACTGCCCTGCCGCTGGCTCTCGCTAAGCAAACACTTGGGAGGGTGGACTCTCCAGCAGCACAACCACAGCATCAGCTCCACAAGAATTTCTCCCCTGCCCACCTGGTGATTGCAGAGCCGTCCTGCACGGCAAAGTGCTGGCTCTTGCTGAGCACACACGAGGGCAAGGGTGGAACGGAATTAAAAAAAAAAAACAGTACCATCCGCAGCACCACCATACGAAATCAATCAACCTTTTCCACCTGGTGACTGCAGAGCCGTCCTGCACGGCGAAGTGCTGGCTTTTGCTGAGCACACACGAGGCGAGGGCAGACTCACCTGCACGCAGCACCAATTGCAGCTGCAGCTGCAGCAGCATCACCACAATAACATCCTTCCCCACCTGGTCACTGCAGAGCCGTCCTGCACGGCAAAGTGCTGGCTCTTGCTGAGCTGGCGCAGCAGCGTGGCGAGGCGGTTGTTGATGCCGCCAATCACTATGTGGTCCCGCTCCATCACCTGGTGGTGGGAGAGACGGGGACGATATGGGGCGTGAGAAGCGCAGGGAAGGGGCGAGGTGCAGAGGGGAGGGGTCAGTGGTTGACGTTGCACCCACAACACAATAACTGGCCCGGGTGCTGCTAGCCCTCCACGCAGCCAGCCAGCACAGCACAGCACCGCACAGCACAGCATTGCACATCACAGCACCGCACAGCACAGCACCACCAAAGCACAGCACAGCACAGTACCGCACAGCACAGCACAGCACACCTCCAAGGAAAGCACAGAACCCATCTCACCTGTGAGTGCGCGCCTTCCCTGAGCCACTCCATACGCAGCTGCTCACAAGGGGGCGGGGTGCGTAGGGAATGAGGAGGTGGAGGTGAGCAGTGATAAGCAGCGCAGAGAGAAGGGCGGGTGGCGACTGGGCGGGCCGGAGAGATGGCTGAGATGGAACACTTGATGAGCTGCAATGGGACACTGTCACACTATGCATGGGCACGTGTAATCACACCACACGCAGGTTCACTCACGAGCATGTGCACTCACAAGCAGGTACAGTGCAGTCACGAGCAGATTGGTGTGTGTCACGGGAAGGGAAAAAAGGGTTAAATGAAGGCGAGGAGAGAGAAAAGCAGAGAGGTGAAAGCAACGCTCGACTTGAGAAGGGATTCAACGGTTGAGGTTTGAGGTTCATGGTTGTTGAGAGCACGTGAGACAGATAGCACAGGAGAGCAGGCGCACCTTGAACTATGCAGTCATGGTGGAGGTGAGCAGCGAGTAGAAGAAGAGGCATTCTCTCAACGCCTCACAGAACAAGGTGTAGCGGTTGAGAGGAGAGGACACGTACCTTGAACTGTGCGGTCATGGTGGAGGTGAGCAGCGAGTAGAAGAAGAGCCCTCCCAGCGAGGTGACTTGTGAGTCGACTCAGAAGCACACACACCTTGAAACGAGAGCAGCTGGGAGCACACGTACCTTGAACTGTGCGGTCATGGTGGAGGTGAGCAGCGAGTAGAAGAAGAGGCCGCCCCGCGAGGTGACTATTGAGTCGACTCAAAAGCACACACAACTTGAGCTGCGCGGTCATAGTGCAGCGGTTGAGAGCACGTGAGAGCAGGCGCACCTTGAATTGCGCGGTCATGGTGGAGGTGAGCAGCGAGTAGAAGAAGAGCCCTCCCAGCGTGAGCATGATGCCTATCACCCTCCCCTCCTGCGTGCTCTCCTGCCACACCATGCGAGGGAGGGGGACAGGGCCGAGGGAAGAAGACGATTGGCATTTGCAGATGGAGACAGGAGTGAGAAGAGAGGAGAGAGGAGAAGCAGCACAACCAGAACAGCAGCCACAACCAGCAGTGCCGGCATGCAAACAAGCAGAGGTTACCCTAAAGGCTAGCAAGGTGCTGCAGTATGAGTCCCACTCAGAGGCCAGGCCAGAACGAGTGCCTCGCTACCAAGGTGGTTGGGACAAGCTGTAGTAACCACCAGCAGCACCAGCAAGAGGACCTAGAGGTGCTGGCAGGACGAGAACACATTGCCCCACGCAGCCCACAGCACAGAGCTAGCAATAGACGCACTCAGGGAGAGTCAGGGAGGCAGGGTCAGGGAGGTAAGGCAGGCAGATGGCTGTGAGGCAGCAGCAGTATCCGGAGGTGCTGGTGGGATGAGCACACATAGCCCCACGCGTCCCACAGCACAGAGCTAGCAATCGATGCACTCAGGGAGGGTCAGGGAGGTGTAAGGCAGGCAGATGGCTGTGAGGCAGCGGTAGTACCCGGAGGTGCTGGCGCGACGAGCACACATTGCCCCACGCGTCCCACAGCGCCTCCCCAAACGGCTCCTGCGGCCGCCTGCTCCTCTCCACCGCACCCCACCGTACCTCAACCGCCACACGAGACGAGACCGCCACACACATGCGTGCACAGGGGGAGAGGAGGAGAGAGGAAGAGGAGGCAGAGGGTGAAGAGGGTAGGCAGAGGAGGGGGGGTACCTTGAGGTGCGAGCTGGACGACACGAGGGCGGACCACGCGTCCCACATGTCCTCCCCCAGACTCTTGTGCCGCCTGCCATGCCATGGCCCCATGTGTTTAATGCGGTTAATGCAGCATGAGAGCAGTGCCATGCAATGGACGCAAATGCAGTGCGGGTGCGAGCTAGATGACACGAGGGCGGACCACATGTCCTCTCCTCTCCCAGATTCTTGTGCCGCCTGCCATGCCATGGCCCCATGCGCGGTCAATGCAGCGAATGTGGTCAATGCATTCCAATTGATGATTGCAGTGTAATGGACGCGCATGCATGCACTACAATAGTGCAGTGCCAAGTTATGGACCGTGGATCTATGCACATCCTACAGAAACAAAAGGGTGTCAACAATGCCAGGCACACGGCTTAATGCTTGTCTCACGCACACGTAAAGCTTGTGTCAAGGGACAGAGAAACGTGCAAATACGCGAGGCTTGTGTGTGGGAGGGGAGACAGGCCCAGGGGGAGGGGAGACAGGCCGTTGAGTACGAAAGACTAGTTGGCTTGGCTGGGGTCCAGGGCAGTGCAGTGCGGTGGAGAGGAGAGCAGGTGGTGGTTACCGGAAGGTGTGGAAGAGGAAGCCGCCGAGGAATACAAGTGTGGTGCACATGGTCATGAGCAGCATGATGTACCTGGCGTGGGGCATGGGGCAAGGCATAGGGCATGGGACACAGGGCGTGGGGCATGGCGTGGGGCATGGCGTGGGGCATGGCGTGGGGCATGGCGTGGGGCATGGCGTGGGGCATGGCGTGGGGCATGGCGTGGGGCATGGCGTGGGGCATGGCGTGGAGCATGGCGTGGGGCATGGCGTGGGGCATGGCGTGGGGCATGGTGGAAGAGGAAGCCGCCGAGGAACACAAGTGTTGTGCACATGGTCATGAGCAGCATGATGTACCTGTAGCGGGGCAAGGGGTATCGTACACAGGGCATGAGGCATGGCGGGCAGGCGAGTCGCGTGGTGTGGGGAATGGTGTGAGGCATGGCGTGGGACATGGCGTGTGAAGGGGCGCACATGATGGGATGTCGCTGCAGCTGCACCTCCCAGGCGTAGCAAGGGACGCACACAATAGGGCGTCGTTCCAGGAGCACATCCCAGAGGTACTGCACGCGCGCCCACCGAGTTGACTTTTGAGTCGACTCAAAAGTCAACTCAATGCTATGCTATCTCCGAGCAGAGAAAGAGATATAAGAGACGCACACGATGGGGTGGCGTTCCAGCACCACGCCCCAGAGGTACTGCACATCCACGCGCCCACGCGCGCCCACCGAGTTGACTTTTGAGTCGACTCACTTAAAAGACGACTCGATGGTATGCTATCTCCGGGTGGGCAGATCAAAATGCCTAAGGGGCAAACACAATGGGGTGTCGTTCCAGCAGCACGTCCCAAAGGTACATTTTGAGAGAGGATGGGAGGTCCAGGTGGGAAGAGACACGCACACAATAGGGTGCCGTTCCAGCAGCACGTCCCACAGGTACTGCACGCGCGCCCACCGCCACTCCCTCACCAGCCGCCCCCACGGGCTCCCCGGCGACAGCAGCACCCCCATGCCCGTCTCCCCCCGCCGCGGCCCCTGCTGCTGCCAGTCCTGCGCGCTGAAGGATGAATCAGAGGGGCTGTGATCGCCCCCCAAAGAGCTCTGGGGGTTGTCAGCGTGGGTTTGGGCTTCAGACTGGGTGAAGAGGGGCGCGGGCGGCCCCACTTGCAGCCGTAACTGTCCTTCCACTGGCCGGGGAACCCACTCTGACGTGGAGCCAATCACGCGCTGCCACATGGACGCTAGGTTGGGGGATGTGGCGGCTAAGGGAAGGGATGCGGTCCTTCGCGGTGGGGATGGGCGGGTGGATGGGGTGGCTGTAGCAGAAGCGGCAGGGGTGGTGGTGGTGCTTGTCGTGTTGATGGTTCCAGTTTCAACAGCAGCAGCAGCAGCATTAGCACTGCTGTGATTATCTGTGGTGGTGCAAGCAGCAGCGGCAACCGCAGAGCCAGGGGAAGAAGAGCCTTCCTGCTTGGTCTCTTGCGAGGCGGTAAAAGCAGAGAGCGTGGCTGCTGTGGCCGTTGGGGGGGCGAGGCGCAGTCGTGTGGGCGGGCAGGGTGCGAGGGGGGATGCAAGGGCCGCGAGAAATGGCGCAGAGAGCAGGGCGAGGGCCTGAAGGGAGGGCGGAGAGAGAAGGACAAAGACAAAGGACACATTGCATGATCAGATTGCCAAAAATCACAATTCGTGCATATCACGTCGCGTGGCCAGGCTGAATCTCTATCACCACTCACCAATGTCGAATTCCGCATATGCCACGTCAGCTGCTCCTTCCAGCTTTTGCCGTTCACGCGTGGCTCGGGCTTCGTGCCACTGCAGGATGTGCTCGTATCAGAGCTTCTTCCGCTGTGGCTCGTGTCGCTTCGGCAGTTGTCGGAATTCCTTCTTTTTAAATTAATGTCAGTGCTCGAATCGCCAATCGCGTCTCGCTTTTTATTGGCTCCTGCGTCGTTGCTACAGCACTGTACGTCAGCGCGCCTCATACCATCCGACCTGTTGACCTCGAATCCTGGTCTTATAACTTGTACGCTGTATGTCTTGCGACGCTGGTGAAACGCGCTAGAGGAATGGGGGAGATTTCTCTGAACGAGAAATGGCCTTTTGACCACGAACTGTGTCACGTCAGCAGGACGAACTGCGCTCCGGAAGGACGTCATTTCGTGCAGCACAGAAGACGACACGTGGATTTGACTTCGACAGTGACAATCAGTGACAGATGGCTGGATACGACACGACATTGCTGGGGAAACGACGTGCCTTGCGGAAGCAGACATTGCGAATAAATGCAGAACTCCTAGCGACAATGCATTTAACTCGCGCAGCTAAGGGTCAGCTACGCATTTCAAGAGTGTCTGTGCGGCACTCCTGAAGTAACGCAAGCTTGCAAAACTATGGTATTGGTAGTCAAGATGGAAGTGACAGTCGAGGTAGAGGCAGATGAGAGGAGCATGATGAGCGTCATGAAGCGGATGTTCAGACGCGGTCAACAACAGGGGAATGGTGTCGAAAATCGCGCGGGAAAAGGGTGGCATTGGTGTTGGCGTCTTCGGTATTGCCGGCTCTGGCAATAATTGCCGGACGTTACTGTACTGAATACCATAAGTTCCACACTTTCGTTTTGCTTCACTTATCCAAACCCACAACGCAACACAATAGTTAACATATTTGCCACTTGCAAATCAGGCTAGGCAGACTTTTGATTTTCAATGGTATTCTTTACGTCAACAAAACCCCAACGTTATTACTGGGGTTTCTTGTGCCTGTCACAGTTCCAATCCAGCACACAACTCATCCAAGCGCCCTAGAAAACAAACATGGCTTGTATTTTCATGCAACCACAAGGGAGTCAGAATCGCTGCTGCTGCCTCCAGTTCTAGGACCAAACCCCCGACCCTCAACTTCACCAAGAGGCGCATCACCACCCTCCACACCAGCCACATCCTCCCCACCATCCCCACCCTCCCTCTGCTCCCCAGAGTGCCACCAGCACCCGCCATGCCCCTCGAACACGGCCTCAGCACGCACAAACCCCACCACGCGCCGCTCCTCCCCCGCGCCCCTCTGCACAGCCTCCTTGGCGAGCCCGTAGCGCATGCGTGCACTGCCCGCCACCACTGCCGCCAGGGGAGTGCGGCGCGAGGAGAGGAGGAGAGCGGCTTCGGAGACGGTGGAGAGGCAGGAGAGCGACGGCGGGGGGGGCAGCATGAGGTGCGAGACGAGGGTTGTGGGGTCCTGGGGTTGGGGGAGAGAAGAGTGGTATGGGTAGGAGGGAGGGGTATGATGGTTTAGGGTTGGGGAGAGAAGAGTTGACCTGGGGGTAGTCTTCGAAATAGCCCCATGATTTGTGAAGGTGAGGTGAAGTTCGACGGAAGATGACGCTTGGCAACTGAGCATCATATGACCCTTATGATGTATATGACGAGCCAAGGCATGTGGGCCATGTGCGACTCACCATGGCATGGCTTGGTACTCTCAGAACGCCCACGCACTCATCAGCACCGTTGATCACCGGGATGACGTCAGCGGACATCAGATCTGGCCGGGCTGACCTCAGCTCGGCCAGTGACTGGTCAGGGTGGGCCACTGCCACGTCAGCCAGGGGAACCATGACAGACTGCACCGTATCACGCAGCGACAGCTGGATGGCATAAGGACACACAGAGATGGAAAGACGGGGAATAAGAGAAAATGGGAGGGGTGTGGTTTGGTTGAGAGGAAAGTCGGTCAAGACTGATGGGTCAGAGAAAGACTGTGCGAACGCGGAATGTATAGGCTGCAAGGGCGGGGAAGACAGTGGAGTGTGGTGCATGGAGAATATGGTTCACGCACGCACGCGCACACACACACACACACACACACACACACACACACACACACACACATGCGCGCGCGCACGCACGCACAAACACACACACACACACACACACACACGCACACACACACACACGCATGAAAAGGGTGGTTGGAAGAATGTGTAGGGAAAAAGTACAGGACAGCCAGGCAGGAGCTAGGTTGAGAAAGAGACCGGGAGAGGGGAACGGAGAAGGGAGGGTGTGAGAAAGATGGCGGCACACACACACAGGGAGTGAGAGAGAATGTGTGTGGAAGCTTGAAGGAGGGACAGAGTGTAAGAGTGGGAGAGAGAGAATGAGTGGAAGAGTGAGAGAAAGGATGAGGAGGAGAGAGAGAGAGAGTGGAAGGAGCACCGTTTTGGGCACCTCTTGTCTGATGCCGATGGGCGTGAAGCGCTCAAAGCCCGCCCCCGTTGCTGCCATCAGCTGCACCACCGCCTGCCAGGAGCCAACAGGATTCAAACATTCAATAACAGCGGTCAACACGAGTCAACGGAAACAGTCAACAGAGTTTGACAAGCGTCAACGGCAGATAACAGAAGCCAACAACAGCCGATCCCTTTTCCATTGCCATGGAAATGGCATGCAACAGGTGAAAGAACGGAAGTTGCTGTTCCGATAGAGCAAGGCAGCATGCTGTGAAACCGTATTTACTTCCATGCATGCATGGAACGACCTGCCATGACACAGTCTCTCCACTTCACTTCCTGCCCAGTCCCTACCCGCACGCCCCTAACTGCATGCGCGCTCACCTGCATGCGCGCTCACCTGCATGTGCGCTCACCTGCATGCGCGCTCACCTGCATGCGCGCTCACCTGCATGCCGCGCAGGGACATGCGCAGCTGGTTCCCGTGCATGGCCTCCATCTGATCCAACAGCCGCGCTGCCACACCCATCTGGAAGAGGACAGGGGAAGAGGTTGGGAAGAGAGGGGGGGCACTTTCAAAAACAGAGGTTGCAGCAGCTGGTGCCTGTGCATCGACTCCATTTGATCCAGCAGCCGCGCTGCCACGCCCATCTGACGCAAGGGGAAGGGAGGGGGGAAGAAAAGAGTGAGGAAGGGGGGAGGGTGGCCCTTTCAAGTCCACTGCGATGCTCCTGTTGCACAGTGGCAGCAGGAAACTCAGGAACAGAAGGCCCAGCAGCTAATGGCCGTGCATGGCCTCCATCTGATCCAACAACCGCGCTGCCACGCCCATCTGACGCAAGGCAGGGAGGGAAGGGAGAGGGCATGGCGGTCAATGCAAGATTGCATGTTAAAGAGTAGCACGTCTGGGCAGCCTTCACAAGGAATCCTCTTGTGCATGCATCACTTCGTCCATTTATGGATCACTCCCCGAACATTTCATCCCCTAGGTGAGTCTGGTGAGAGAGTGTCTTTGCTCTGAGGTGCCCCTAAGCTCACCTCGCCCGCCCGGGTGGCGGCCTCCAGCACCAGCTCTGCCGCCTCCGCCCGCTCCTCCGGCCACACTCTGCCGCCCGCGTCGCGCACCAGCCGGGCGGCGAGCTGCTGCGTGGACGGCAGATCGCCGGCGGCAGCTAGCGAGCGCATGAGGGAGAGGAAGACGTGTGCTCGCGGGCGCATGGAGCGGTCCGCTCTCCCCAGCTCCTCTAGTTCCGCCATGCACTGCAGCGCGTCTGGGGGGGGCAAAAGGGGAGAGGGGGGGAGGGAGCGCGGGTGGGTGGGGGAGAGGCAGCGAGGGAGCGCATGAGGGAGAGGAAGACATGCGCCCGCAGCCGCATTGAGCGGTCCGTGCGCCCCAGCTCCTCCAGCTCCGCCATGCACTGCGGCGCGTCTGGGTGGAGGAGAGAGGGGTAAAGGGCAGGGGGGGTGTTTGAGTAAACTCAAAGGCCATTGAAGCTGCATGGCTCGGTCTGTCCCCCCCAGCTCCTCCAGCTCCGCCATGCCCCATGCCCTGGGTGGAGGAGAGGGAAATGGCGGAGGTGGGTGGGGGGGGTGTGAGGAGAGGGGGGAGAGTTGGCAGGAAGCAGTGGAAAGCAGTGTGTGCACGAGGAGAGAGCACGCACCCAAGGCATGGATGACCAGTGTGGCTTGAGGTTTTGAGGTGTGCCATGTGGTGCATTGCGTGTGTGTGGAAATGAAGAGGGGCGATGCGGTGGCACTGCGGAGTAGCCCATGCACACACTACATGCATCCATCCATCCATCACCCATACATCCATGCATACCACGCACCCACGCATAAACGCACCCACACACACGCACAACCACGCGCACCACCCACATGCACCTTCAGGAGAGCCGACAGCAATGTAGGCATCAATTATGGCCGTGTAGGCCACGCGGTCCATCACCAGCGGGTTGCTGCTGCTGCTGCTGGTGGCTCACTGGCACTGCTGCTGCTCACACCCATACATGCATACATCCATACACGCACACACCTCCCACACACACCACCCACACACACCACCCACACACACCACCCACACACACCACCCACACGCACCCTCAGGCGAGCCAACAGAAATGAAGGCGTCAATGATTGCCGTGTACGCCACTCGGTCCATCACCAGCGGATTGCTGCTCGCCCCCCCGCCGCTGCTGCCACTGTTGCTGCCACTGTTGCTGCCATCAACCACAGCACTGTCACTGCTGCTGCTGGTCACGGCGATGACAGCACTGCTCACGCCCTCTTCCCCCCCAGCAGCCGCCACACCAGAAGGCCCCTCAGCTGCAAGCAGCGTGCGGCAGTGCGGCTGGGAGGGGCCGGCAGGGCTGCGCACACAGCTGGCGCGCTTCATGTCCGCCACCACGTCCCGCAACGCCTCTATGTCGCCCTCCTCCGATAGACCCTGGGGGATGGGGATGGAGGAATGGGTGGGGACGGGGGAGGTGGTTGGGGGAGGGGGGAGGCGGTTGGGGGAGGGGGGAGGTGGAAGGTTGGGAGGGAGAGCAGGAGTGGGTGAATGAGTGGGGTGGAAGAGTTAACACAGCTGGCGCGCTTCATGTCCGCCACCACGTCCCTCAGCGCCTCGATGTCGCCCTCCTCTGATAGACCCTGGTGGGGGGAAGTGGGGCGGAAAGGGTTGAGGCGGGGAGCGAAAGGGGAATGACAGCTGGTGAGAGCAGAGAAAGAAGTGAATGGAAAGGGCAGGGGAAAAAAGGAGCGGGCATGTGGGCGGTGCTGTATGCGGCAAGGGGCAAAAATGGATTTCTCCAGAGGCATATCAGGGACAAGGGTGAACACGAGGGGCATGGGTGAAAGGTTCAGGTGAGGGGCGCACCTTGATGATGGTGGTGTATGTCAGGGCGTCTGGCAGCACGTCGTCGTTGCCCCTCCTCGTGGGTGGTGGTGTGTGTGCGGCACAAGGCATGGTTGAATAACACCAGAGGCACATTAGGGGCATGGGTCCGCAAGAGGGTCATGGGCGCACCTTAATGATGGTGGTGCAGGTGACGGCGTGTTTTGAGTCGACTCAAAACATGTGAGGCAAGGGCCGTGCTTGTAGGCGGGGCCAGATGAGGGGCATACCTTGATGATGGTGGTGTAGGTGACGGCGTCTGGCAGCACGTCGTCGTCGCCCCTTCTCAACGCCTCTGCCTGCCAAGAGACATGTCGCATGGGGGTAAACATACACAGTCATGAATACACGCACATGAGCGTGTGCATGCACATGCACGGGAAATGCACTCGCATGAATACAATACACACGCTCTCACCTCTTGACGCCGTTGCCAGATATAGCACAAGGAACGGGTTATGTGCCTGCCTGCAGCAGATGATACACTTCACATCCTGCACCGGCTTGCGTGGCCTGTCACGCCCCTCACATAATCATGCCCTGCAAGGGCCCATGTCCCCTGCGCCCACGCCCCCCTGCGCCCACGCCCCCCTGCGACCATGTCCCCCTGCGCTCATGCCCCCCTGCGCCCACGCTCCCCACGCCCACGCTCCCCACGCCCAAGCCCCTTGCGCCCACCCCCCCGCTCGCACCTTCATGTCTTGCAGCAGGTCGAGCGCGCGGTCCATGTCACCGGCGCGCACACAGGCGAGGATGAGGCAGTTGAAGACGACGCAACCCTCACGCCCACGCCCCCCTGAGAGCACCTGCACCAGGGCCCACGCCCCCACCCTGCCCACGCCCCATGCCCCGCCACACACCTTCATATCCTGCACTCATGTCCTTCCCCCTTTCCTGCATGGCCCCCCACGCACCTTCATGTCTTGCAGCAGGTCGAGTGCACAGTCCATATCCCCAGCACGTACACAGGCGAGGATGAGGCAGTTGAAGGTGACTCGCTCCCACTGCAGCCCCTGCACTCATGTCCCCCCTGCGCCCACCCTTTCCCCACGCACCTTCATGTCTTGCAGTAGATCCAATGCGCGGTCCATGTCACCAGCGCGCACGCAGGCGAGGATGAGGCAGTTGAAGGTGACGCGCTCCCACTGCAGCCCCTGCAGGTGCATCTCCTCCGCCACGCTCAGCGCTTCTAAAGGATTGTCCGACCGCGCGTAGCCCTGGCGGAAGCGCGGGGGATGGGCAGGGGGAGGGGGGCGGGGGGGTGAGGGGGGATGAGGATTGACCAGGAAGGGGGGTTGAACGGGGAATGAGGATGGAACGAGGGAGGGACGGGGGGGCTGAAAGGGGGAAGCGAGAGGACGAGGTAGTTGAAGGTGACGCGCTCCCACTGCAGCCCCTGCAGGTGCATCTCCTCCGCCACGCTCACCGCCTCCAGTGGGTTGTCCGACCGCGCGTACCCCTGGCGGAAGCGGGGGGAGTGAGCGGGCGAGGGGGGTAACCGGGGGATGGGGGATGGCCATGGCGCGGGAGGATGGCGGAGAAAAAGAGAGAAAGAGCATGAGTGTAATGAGTGAGAAAGAGAAAAAGCGCAGAGACACTAAGTGAGGCTTGGTCCGAACATTGTGCGCACCTTGAGCAGCAGGTTGTAGGTCACCTTGAGCAGCAGGTTGTAGCGCACCTTGAGCAGCAGGTTGTAGGTGAACGCGGACGGCCCAATAGCCCCCGAGAAGGCGCGCTTGTAGCGCTGCACGACGCTCATGGCGCGCCGAGCGTCCCCCGCGTCCGCGCACGCGTTCACGAGCGTGTTGAGGTGCACCGCCGTCAGCTCCGGCCGCCCCGGCGCCGTACCGTCCTCCATCGCCTCCAACACCTCGAACGCGTCGTCCAACCGCTTTGCGCGACCGAGACCCTGAGGGAAAGGAGGGGGGGAGGCGCGCAAGGGGGTTAGAGGGTGTTGGAAGAAGCAGCACAGCGCAGAGGTGCCGAAGGTGTCGACGCAGAGAGACGCACCTTAATCCAATAGCGACTCTAAAACCAGAAAAAAAGGCTGGTGGGGCAAGGAGACGCACCTTGAGCAGCGTGCCGTAGGTGATGGAGTCGACGCCCGTGCCGCCGTCCGCCGTCATGTCGTCGAAGAGGTCGAGCGCGCGGTCGATGTCGCCGCAGTTCACGCACGCCGCCATGGCCGCATTCATCGTGATCATGTTCACCGCCTTCCTGTTGCGCTTCGCGTCGTCCAGCAGTTGAAACACCTGCGATGCGATGGGGTGAGGGGTACACTGCGATTGAAAGGGATACGCGCGCGTACACGCCTCAAACTCCCGCAGTTGACGCACGCAGCCATGGCGGCGTTCATAGTAATCATGTTCACCGCCTTGCCGCTTCGCGTCCTCCAGGAGTTGAAACACCTGCGCTCAAGCGGGATGCGAGTCTTCAAGACTCGCACGATAGTTTGTAGCCAATTCTAAGAAACATTTGCAAATGAGTGGGATACTTTCTGAGAATTCTCAAAAGTGACTCCAATACTGCAGATGAGTAGGATACGGGGTCACAGGTTGCACACAGCTGCAGCTGACGCACGGCACAACGGCAGTCGCATCAACCCCTCCTCTCGACTCCGAACTGGTCAACCTACACTCGCGCTTTACTCTTCGTCGGCCTTCTACTCGATGCATCGCGTCCAGCCATTAACGCTTAATCCACCAATCCCTCATATCTCTTGACAACCTCCATTCTAACCTCCATCCCTTCTATCTATCCGCTCTCCAGCCTCGATTCCTCATCCACCTACTTCTTATCGAGTCAACCATCGGGTCATCCATCTAGTCAACCCCTGACTGCCGGGATTCCTATCTCCGATCCCTCCATCTATCACGATCTTCTACCTGGTCCAGCTAGCGCCCGTTGCCCAGCCTTTAAGTCGACTCAAACGTCATCCTCTTCGTCCCATTCTCTCTCTCCCCCTTCTCTACCTGGTCCAGCTGTCGCCGTTTCCCCAGCTCGACGATGCGTCGCGTCAGCATGCGCGCCTCGCCGGAGCTCGACTCGCGCTTCTTCCGCCAAAACGGCCACTGCGGCTGCGCCGGCGGCTCTATCTGCAATGCCTCCGCCAGCCCCTCCGCGCCCCCCTTCCCCCGAGCCTCGCGCATTGCGCGCTCCACCTCCTTCTTCCGCCGTTCCTCCGACAACAGCTCCGCCGATGGCCGCCTTTGCGGGAGAACCCCGCGTCTCCCCCCCGGCCTTTGCTGCTGCTGCGGTCGGCGCTGCTGCTGCCATCCCTGCTGCGCCTCCCCACTGCCTGATATGGACCCCGATCCCCCGCTATAAGACCCGCCAAGCGACAACCCTGACATCGAAATCCCCACCCGCGCTATAATCACCAGAGCCCGCGCGCCCTCGCCCCTGTTTCGCCAGCTCCGCGCGTAGTTCGCACCTCCGCTACTGCCACCGTCGCTCCCGCCGCTAGCAACGGCATGGCATATGCCCGCTCTGGCGCCTCGGCTGCGGCCGCATTCGGCGGCAGCTCTGGTGCCAGCTGGCACGAAGCGATCTAATTGTTGATCTGAGGGGAAATCGACGGACGAGCGTTGATGACGGTGTGATAACGACGGGGAGAAGCTAGAATCCAACGAGGGAACGAAGAACGAGGAGGATCCGGAAGCGAGAGAGGCCGTGTCCGCGAGGCGACGATGAAGGAGAGCCGTCGATCCGTGCGACGCCGCCATGGTCACCGTCAGTCAAACCTAGTCAACGTCGGTTCGAAACGCCGTTTCAGTTTGGACTAGGAAACTAAAGAAAGGCGGCGCATTCATACGAGGGCCCTGGGGAAGAGGCACGCTACAGCATGGCGCACGGACAAGCGCAGGGCAGGACAAGCCGCTGACAGCAAGCAGTTGTGAATCTCGCGGCTGAAGGTCAACTCGAAGGACGGAATGTGGAGAGAATGCTGGGTGCAACCCCTTGGTGCGTGCAACACACACAAGAGGAACACACCAGCAACAGAATGGAACAGCAGGGTCGACAACTAGAGTCAAGAGGGCCTGTCTGGCTTGCAGTCACGAGTTCTCCAGAGGAACGGGAGCACTAAGGCGAAACACAGGACTGACAGAACCGACAGTGCGGGAACAACCAGCCCAGACCCAGACACGGACGGGCGAGCATGGGATGTGGGGAATCTCCACCTGGAGGCCTAGAAGCTTGCTACCACTCGCGCGAACCCACGTCAGCGTTTCTGTATCTGACCCCGGCGGCAGTACCAATGCTCACTCGTGGGCTTCCCACTCTTTCGAACGAAATCGAGAAATTGTTGGAAGAGCAGCAATTTCTACGTTGCATCTACAGTTCGAATTTTGGTTTCCATATGGCACCTGAAACCGTACTCTGCATTTCAATCTGCAGAGAACCAATGTTCCGAGATTACCGTGATTACTAATGTGGGCAAAAAAAAATCTTGTGGAAAAGCTACTAGCTAAAAGTAAAACTTCTTTTGTGGCATAACATTGAGAACAGGGAAGCACCACTGCAAGAGGGGGGAGTCCCTCATTACATCTCACAAATACAACAGCAGCTGTCCAACCTAGCCAATGCCTTGGCCTGCCTATGCCCTGTGGCCCTGCCTGTGCGAACTTCCTCCCCCACGGGCAGCAGCACGCCTGGCTTGGCTCTCCATGCCTGCCTTGCCCTCTAGCACCACAAGCAACCTGCACGTCAGTCCTTAGCACGTGTGGGGTGGGGTGGGGGCGCAGCGCTCTAGGCGGCGGACTTGCCCTTCTTCTTCTGCATCTTCTTCACGTAGAACTCCAGCTCCTTGCCCTCCAGGATGTACCTGCCCGTCCAGCCCACACACCAACACCACATGTCAGCAGCCAACCCATAACCCACATCAACCCATCAATCACAGGTGCTTGTAACGGGTACGAAGGGGCAGCAAGGAGAGCGGGGTCAAACCGAGTACCTAAGGTTCATAGAGGTAAACGGGGGAGGCCAAAGCAAAGCAGAAGAGGGGAGCACGGCCAGGAGCAGGAAAGACACTGACCCGTCGCAGCGGCCGCACTGGCCGGGGCGGGAAGCGATGCAGGCGTAGAGGCGGCCGGCGGCGAACTGGTCCTCGAGGTGCGGGTCGAGCTTGTGCGACGCCAGGCGCTGCTCGTGCTTGCGCTTCACGTGCGCACTCACCTTCTTCACCTCCTCTCCCGCCTCGCCCTCCGCCTTCTCTTCCTCGCCCTGCCCCATGCAGCACCGGGTGGGGGGATGGAAGGGAAGTCCGTGGGATGAGTGGGGGTGGATGAGGGAGGGACCAAGTGAGGGTTGGGGTGGGATAAGGGGTGGATTGAGGGGGAGTATGGGGTTTGAGAGAAGGATAAGCGGTCGAAGCGAGGCGGTGTCAACAGTGCTAAAACCGAGTTCCTGAATTGGCATGCGAGTGCACTTAGTCAGTCTTGGTATGCTTGCACAAACCACCGCTTCCCTTGAGACTTCTCCTCTCCGCAAACCCTCCCCTCCCCGCAAACCCTCCCCACTCCGCCAACCTTCCCCTCTCAGCTAACCTAACTCCCTCCCGAGCTTGCCACCCGGCCCTTTGTCCCTTCGTTGCCCAACTGCTACCCCTTCGTCGCCAGTTCCTTCACCGCTTCACCGCAAATAGCCCCCCGTTTACCCCCCACCGCCGCTCCCTCTCTTCACCCCGCACCCTCTCGCGGCTCACCTCCTTCTTGCCGGCCTTGGACTTCTTCTTGCCGAGGTCCACGCCGTAGTGCTGCTGGTACCACTGGCGGAACGGCGCGGCGTCGACCTGGATGATGGCGTTCTTCACGAGCGTCTGCGTGCGCACCAGCTCGTTGTTGCTCGCGTTGTACGCCACGTCCAGGATGCGCGTCTTGCGCGTCACCGACTCGCTGCCCCACGCGTAGTTGCCCGTGTCCAGGCGCAGCGCGCGGAACTTGTAGTTCCCGCCGCGCACGCGGATCCGGCGCACAGTCTTGTGGCTGCTGAGCTTTGTGTTGGCCGCCTGCCGACCCAAGTCATACCTGGCGCGACACGGGCGGAGGGGAAAGGGGGGGAGGATGGGGAATCGGGAGGGAGGGAGGGGAGAAGGGGCGGAGAGAGGGGTGGGGGAGGGGGGAGATAGGAAGCAGGAGAGCGGACATTGAGAAGGCGGAAGAAATCCGCACGCCACAGAAGTGCACTCGGCGCACCAACGACACTCTTATGGCTGCTGAGCTTCGTGTTGGCCCCCTGCCGAACCAAGTCATACCTGGCGATACGCGGACGCGCGTTCGGGACGGGGGAAAGAAGGAAGATTGGGGAAAAGGAGCGGGAGGGGGAGGGAGGGGGGGGAGGGGGGGGGGGGGGTTGGCGGGGGGTGGGAGGGGGAGGCAAGGAAGGGAAGGGGTGGGAGGGTGGGAGGGGCAGGGAGAGTAGGGAAAATGAGACGATGGGGATGGAGGGAATGGGAAGCAGGAGACAGAACAATGAGAAAGAGGCGAAAGGATCTTCGTGCGACACGCGCGCTGGGAGCACCATTGACCTCTGTTCGAACTGTGCGGCGGCTGCGAATCGCACGCATTGACCTGTGCGGCTACAAAGACTATCCATCCGAACCAGCGGCATCCGTTTTCGAATCCCAAAGTTCCTTCCGCGACCTCAGGAATATCTTAATCCGACCTCCTCCCCCACCGTCCCTCACAGGTTCACCAACCAACTCCTCCATCTATAATCCTCCATCCTTCCTCCCTCCATCCCTCATCCTCCCTGCTCCTAGGACACAGGTGAGTACTCTGCCGGTCGCAACTAGCGGGACACAGAACTAGCTCTAATGGAGACCGACCGCCTTGGAACAGTCAGTACGGGATCAGGGAGACCAGCAGTCCGTGGACTCAACGCTCTTCTCAGAAAGAATCTTTTAACCCAGTCCGTATGGCACTCTAGAATCAAGGCTCGGGCCATCATCAAACAATCGCGCGAACAGCGCATTTCTTCACCAATCCAAAAATCGCGAATGAGACCCCGCGACGACACGCAAAAAAACTATATACTAATTTAAGACGTTGCGAAACGCGTAAATAGAGGGGGTGGGGGAGGGGGAGGGGGGGGGGGAGGAGAGGGGGTGAGGGCGGCGGGGGGACGTGGGAGGGGAGAAGTGAGACAGCGGCTTGCTTACTTGCGCTTCTTGTGCCACGGCTTCTTCTTTCCTCCTGTTGCCCGTCGCTTGTGCAGCGAGTCACGTGAGATACCTGTCGCACACGACGGCAGACGCGAAGACGCGGAGAGACGGAGGGACAGAAACGCGGGAAGAAGCGGCACACGAGAAGGGTGGGGTGGGGGAGAAACAGGAACAGCGGGGGGAGACACAGGGAGGAGCGAGACAAGGCGAGCATGCTTAGAACGAGGGCGCAAACAGTCTCTGCGACGGCAAGGAGGATTTACGGCCGTGTGACAAGCCAATGGCCTGGAAAGCACCCTAATTCTTGCTACGCTAATGGCCGCTTCAAACCCTAATTTCTTGTGAGCACGCTGGCGCCTCAAATGCGCAGTACGACGATGAATCCAGTCATTCTGAACAACGTTTTTTCCAATGCAACCGTCGTCGCGAGCGTTAGATCGGTTTCTACACCGCGCGGACTGATCGACACTGTCCAAACCCAATCCAACCACCACGTTCGCCTAGAAGACAGCCCTACAAGACATCAAGACGAGAAGATCAACCAGATTCACTAACATGACTAAGATCCGCCCTGCTCAACCGTTTCCGACCGCTCCAAAATGCACAGCGACAACCACCGATCTGTAAGCATCGACTCAGGGCTTTCTAATCCTTATGAAAAGGCGAGTGGAACACGCTGACGATAAGCAAGATCGAAAGCTAGGGTTAGGGAGTGGGAGCGTACCCATGGTGGGGAAGGATCAGAGCCGTGCAGCCTGATAGAAACAGGAAAGAGAGCAAGTAATGGCGGTCAGAGCAGCTATAGCGCTGCTTGCTGTTGTGGCTGGTGCTGCAGGGGTTGCAGGGGGTGGGTGCGGGCAGGGGAAGGGGAGGTGGGCGGAAATAGGAGTGAGGGAAGAAGTGATATGGCGATGTGGCGGAAAAAGCAGCGGAGCGAATCAACACAGGAGCGGGTGGGCGGGGGCGGGGATGTCAGGTGATGAGGAATTCGCTGAACGATTTTTGGGCTCTGCGGAATGCTAGATGAAGCAACCCAACTAGTACTAGATTTGATGCACAGTATGGATATGGGTCGTCTAAAAAAGAGGGAAAGATTCATGCACATTGATTGTTGTTGACACTATATACCAGCCCTCAATAAATAAAACAACTCTTCAAAATTTGTATAATTATGCTAAAATATATGGCATGCATTGTCAAACATACATTTCAACACGCATAAATTAGTTTGATTGCTTTTATCAAACTGTTGGTGGTACACTACTTTACACTTGCCTTGCTTGTACGTCTTTCCCTCCCATCCTAGTCCAACCACTCTTTTTGAAATTGTATCAAAGTTTAATATACATTGACCTTCTCCTCTTATGGCCTCCTCCTCTTATGGCCCCTCTCTCGAGAGGCCTATCGGGGGCCCATCTCAACCGCCTCGTCGCGGGCCCCGTCGCGCCAGACGCAAACACCCCATCATGGCCCTCGTCGCAGCCTTTGTCACGGTCTCGTAGCGCCCCCCTTTCGCGCCTTGTCAGCCGACTCTCGCCGCGCCCGTCGTGGTCCCCGTCGCAACTCCCCGTCACGCTCGTTGCATCCCCCCAACACCCCCTCCCCCTCTCCCCTCCCTCCCCCTCCTGGTCGCGACTGGGAGAGGGAGGCGGGGGGTGGCGGCTGTCACGCCAACCAGCGACAATCGCGCCAATTTGTGCCAGCCATGCTAGCCAGCGTGATCTGTGCCATCCAGCGCGAGCCGCTCCAGCCAGCACCAGTCGTGCCAACTGGGTCTGGTATGCCTTCTCCTGCTGCGTTCATGGCTGTCTCTATAGGGGGGAGGCTGGCCGAAACTATATGCACAAGAAGGTCCAACAACACAAGCGTCAAATGCATATGTAGCGGAAAAAATCACTTAAGTATAAGTCCATGTAAAATATAGGCACACCAACTTGTAGTAGAGAGTACTAGTCCGAGGCGGCCATCTGCAGGACGAAGCGCTGACGGTAGAGGTTGTCGAGGCGATACAAGTAGCGCACCGTGGAGTGGTTGAGGCAGCCGCGGACGGGGACAATGCCAAGGCCAGTTTGATGACGATACAGGCATGGCCTGACATCACGGCGACCCGACACCCATATAGAAGGACCACCACCGCGGCCAGTGCTTCCCTGACCACGAAGGCCCCACTACTGCTAAGAGACCCATTGCTGCACAAACTGTCGCTACTGTGCCGGCTGTTACCATAACGCGCATGTTACCATAACGCGCATGTCACCGTAACGCGCATGTTGCTGTAACGCGCATGTTACCGTAACGCGCCTGTTACCATAACCCACCTGATACCACAACGCACATGTTACCATAACGCACCTGTTACCATAAGCACATGTTACTGTAACGCGCATGTTACATAATGCGTCTGTTACTATAACGCGCCTGCTACCATAACTCACATGTTACCATAACGCACCCGCTACCATAACGCACCCGCTACCATAACGCACATGTTACCATAACGCACTTGTTACCAAAACGCACCTGTTACCATAATGCACCTGCTACCATTACGCACCCCCTACCATAACGCACATGCTAACAAAACGTATTAGAATCTAGATGTGAACGAGGATGATGAAACTAGGCAGCAGGGTGATACAAGTAGGCAACCCTAACAATGTTGTACCCCCTAAGGCTAAACCCACTATAGCCTACACAATATAAACATATATAATGTTTGACACACCCCCATAGGCTAAGTGGGAGACAACCAGATGGTCACAAGACCAATCAAAGCAAAGCAAAGCAAGCTCAGGGTGGATCTCAAGGAAACCACACAAATTCCGAGCACAAGCAAGTGGTCACAAGACCAGTTCACATGCAGTTTGATAATATAACAAGAGGTACAGTGATCACAACCTAGCAAGTGTAAGCATGCAGGTATATATATATAGAGATCATAGTACAAACAGAGTCAAGAAGTAAGCAAGTGAGGCACAGTAGGCACAAGGCCTAGAACAGTACAGAAATGCTGATGATGACAAGGCTGAAGCGCCTTGGTGAACACATCAGCAGTGTTGGCCCGAGTGGCCACGTAGGCAAGACGAAGCTGACCTCGCTGCTGCAGCTCTCGAGCAAGGAAGTAGCGTAGAGCGATATGCTTCGTTCTGTGCTCCAGTCTGTGCTCCTCACACAAGGCAATGGTAGCCTTGTTGTCGACGTACAGCACTGGAGGAGAACGAGGCCGCTCTCCCAGGCCAGTTAGCAGGTAGGTGAGCCAGCGTAACTCCTGTGCAGCCATGGCTGTGGCGTAGATCTCAGCCTCACAACTGGAGCTGAGAACTGAAGACGAGCGAGTAGAACGCCAAGAAACTGAACCAGAGCCAAGGCTGAAGGTGTAACCCTGAGACGACCGCTGAGTAGCCTGGTCGTCAGCCCAAGAAGCGTCTGAGTGCCCAGTGAGGACAACTCGAGTCCGTCCTCCAAGCACGAGCCCCATGCCCGACGTACTGCACAAGTAGCGCAACACCCTCTTAGCGGCATCCATGTGCTCCTTCCGGTGACGGCCAGGAGCGACATAGCGTGCTAGGATGCTAAGAGGGTATGCAAGGTCAGGTTGAGTGCAGGTCATCAGGTACATGAGGCAGCCCACAAGCTCTGGATACGGGCCACTCGGCTCTACGGACTCATCCGAAGTCAGAGCTGAGAGCGAGTGACCGGTAGGCAGAGGAGTGGGCTGAGGCGAGGAGTACGTGAAGCGGAAGCGCTGAAGGACCTGCTGCACCATGTGTGACTGAGTCAAGGTGATGGTGCGCTGTGCTCTGTCCCGGGTGATCCGCAAGCCAAGATAGCTTGTCAGTTCACCCAGGTCTGTGCACGTGTGTCTCTTCTGCAGCTCCGACTTCACGTAGCAAAGACCAAGTCGTCTACGTAAACAAGAACGTAGAACGGCGGCAGAGTGGTGTCGGTGCGTAGAAACAGCGACGGGTCAGCAGTAGAAGGAGCAAACCCAAGAGCAGCAAGAGTAGTCCTCAGTGTGTCGTGCCACTCACGGGGCACCTGGCGGAGACCGTAGACTGGCCGCCGGAGGCTCCACTGGGTACCAGGAGGGAACGACCCAGTGAAGCCAGGTGGGCGGCGCAGCCAGATCTCCTCGTGCAGGCTGCCCTGTAGGAAAGCAGTGCTGAAGTCAAGAGAGTGGAGCTCATAGTCACGCTGAGCGGCGACGTGCAGCAGAACCCGAAGAGTGGTCATCTTCGGGGTCGGGGAGAAGGTCTGAAAGAAGTCAACTCCCTCTCGCTGACTGAAGCCTCGTGCAACGTAACGCACCTTGAAGACAGGCGGAGAACCCGGCGGCCGCTTCACCAACAAGCTCTGGGTA